AATTTGATTAACATACGCTTACTAATTTAAAAGTTATAGCATGAAAACTATACCAAGCACAAAATGGTTATGAGGTTGGTCTCGGGGACCAAGCCCATGCTGAAAGAGTTAAAATAAAGACACTAAAGCGTATATAATATTAAAATTTGATTTAATAAATACATTTTATGCTAAGTTGATTCATATACATGGATAATTAAGTAGTTTGATTAGATTTTTAATGTAACTGTACAAGATTACTTGGGTTTTCATGGATCCTTAAAAAGTTTTGAGAAGTCTTGTATAGATTTTGGTTTTTTTAGGTTAATGACAGGTTAAAAATTTGGAATCATCACAAATTTACTATGACAGACAGTCTTAATCTGAATCTCCTTGGCTCAGATTTCTCCAATTGTGGCCTCACTTCTCTAGGGTGAATATAAATTGCATCTGAGTACCTCGCTGTGTGGTAACCAAAGCATGCTCAAAATGTTTAGTTTTTGGCAGTCAAGCACAGAGAAAGCATTATGGAGGAATCAACTATTTGATGAAAGTATAGTTTTACACCACATTAGTACATGTAAAAAACCATATACAGGTCTAGTTTAGGATTTTCTTGTTTGGGGACACAAAAATAATTAGTAGAAAGACATAACAAGGTCTGAATAAATTGAACAAGATGCATTATCAAAGCTCAACAGTGTGTGTCACTGACTGTGCATGCTTGAATGAGCATGACCTGATTCTGGGCAGCTCAATAGGGGGAGCTTAAGTTTATTCGATCAGACTAGATGCCTCAGAGTGTTGAGTCACATGTCCAAGCATAATTGAACACTTAGATGCAAGTTTTTATTATAAATTTTATAATAAAATTATAATTTTATATATAATTATATATGTTAATAATTATAATTATTTATAATTTTATAAATTGTATACATGATTGAACTATCTTATGATGATACAATACTGCAAATTTTAAGAATACTGCATTAACAATGCTTTCTATCCTCTTGCTACTTGTGATTAAACACACATTTCCCCATTTGTCTAATGCTACAGCCTTTTAAACAGTCTTAAGTGGCTGAAGCATGACAAAGGCAGTAAATATGACACTTATTGCATGGTATGTTGCAGGTCTTTTAAACTTGGAACGATAGGCATTAACCCTATCGTCAAGGACATTCTTTACTGCACAAAACAAGGTTTTAGTGTCTTACATTCAAACTTTTATTAAATTAGCTTTTGTTTATGTTATACCAATTAGTATAGCATAAAATCATAGTTAATAATCCATATTTTAATAGTACATAAGTTTTAAGTTCTTAATCCTATAAGGCAGTATTTTAAAAAATTCTGAATTTGTGACACATTTTCTCTGGGTATCTTCTCTATTTTATCCACCAACTCTCCAATAACTATGAAATTAAAAATAAATTACTCACTATAAAATCATCATTACTCAGACAAACCATAATTCTTATAGCCTTCAATTTTGTTTGGTTACAGAACTATCAAATATAAAATCAGACTCCTCCTGCCACACCCTCGGGATTTGTTAATAGTTCTCTCTTACGTTTAATTATATATTACCTATAACCAATAGAAAGTTAAGATTTTCATCTATCAAATGATGTATTGTAGAACATTGTGTTCTGAACAGATAATCTTCAATTTCATTCAAGAATACAAGCTCCATTCCCATGGGAAAGCTAATGACTAGCTTGGATAAACTTGTTACGGCTCTTGTCACATAGTTAGAAAGCCAGAACAATTTTGAAAGTTAGGGGAAATTGTCTACTTTTTGCATATTATTAGTCTATGTTCCTAGATGCATGATTTAATTAAATAAAAATTATTAATGCGTTACTACCATCAGTATTTAAAAAAAAGTAGGGTTAAATGTAATTGACAATCGACAACAAGAAAAAAGAAGATTGGATAACTACTTTATTTCCTGTTTGTCCTTTATTTATTATAATAAAAATAACTCAAATCTAAAAATAGGGGTCTTTTTAGATTAGTTAAGATTAGATTAGGTAAAATAAATAATAATAATATAAAAATGTTTTATGAGGCATGCACGCGAGTAGCTTGTAATAACTCGTGGGTAATGTCAATCAATAGTGTAACATGAGCTGCACGTTCCCAGAGTGATTTACAACTTATAATGGCACGGGTAGTTGTTAGACATGGTTCAAAGGGCAATCAAAATGGCAATAAAATGTAATTATAAATAGATGCATACTGTTACGAGCTTAAAGCTACTTAGGATAAACAAATGTAATTTCATCTTACAATTTGAAGTCATTCTAGAAAGAAAAAAGGGTAATTTAGATTTATTTAGATTTTTTTTTGTGGTTACGAGGTTGGTCAAATTGACCAATCTTATCTAGAGATAGGGTAGAGAAAATAACAGATAAAGTATAAAATTTTATTGAAAACAAACATTTGAAATATATTTAAGAGGTTTTAGAGATTACTCAGATGAAATTTGAGATTTTTGAGATCAGAAAAATTATTTTTAATCTTATCATGAAAATTACTTTGCATTGGGACTATTCAAAAGAAATACTCACTATATATATATTCATTGACAAATCTTTATTTTAGTTTATTAAAAATACTTCACTAAAAATATGATTTGCTGTATGGGAAAGACTTATAATATTTATTTTGTGAAGATATACACACTATATTCAAAGTTAGAAGTGTTAAATCTATAAAGACTTTAAACGAGTACAAAGAGTTTACGTGGTTGGTCAGATTGACAGAGCCCATGTTGAGAGAGTTAAGACACTAGACTTTGTGCAGAGGGAGACATACAAAAAGAGTATTAATTCCCATGACAGCAAGAAAATGAATACTATTGTTAGTTATGTGCTGAAAGTACATCAGCCACCAGGACAATCACACTTCTATGCCACATGGCCAGTTCATGAGATATGCTGAAAGCCAAGGTTTTTTGGTCATTACATGCAGTGTCTTTTCATCACTTCTATATCTCCATTGATGAAATTGAATCACTGTTTTCAGTTATATTCCCTGATAGTAAAGTAGCAAAGACTTTTCCGTGTAGGAAAGACAAATAATAATAATAATAATAATACTGGACAAAGTTTTAATTAGCTCCATTCATCAGAAAGTAACTGATTTTGTTCGTGAGAACTATGCCATCATGTTTGATGAAAGCCTGAACAAAACAAAATCTAAACAATTATACTTACATGTATGATACTGGATTACATATGAGAATAGTACATGTGTACAAATAAGGTACTAGGACTCGCAGTTTATGGGTCATGCAATGGTCGAGGATCTTCTTGTACGTTTCAAGGCAGGTTCTGAATCTTAACTTGTAATAATATTGCAATTCAGTATTACTTCAGTTTGGCAAAGCAGATAGAAAGCACCTATTTGAAAGTAAATATGATTAAAGGTAGTAGCATAGCAGTATTGGGAATATTAAAAGAATCACAGGAGTATTTTAGCTCCTCTTTGCAGTTTATATTTCTGTTATAGAATTGCATACAGTAGATGAACTTGTGCGAAATGTTATAAATTTTTATGAATGGGTCAAATGTCAACTGGAAGTTTTCGAAACCAACGAGAATACTCAGGACAATTTGATGGTCTGCAGCTTATTATGATCAGCAGCTGTGGACTACATACCTTGCACAATGCCTCAAGACTGGTTTCAGCATGTGGCAAATTGACAAACTTTTGAGATTTGTTTACTTTTATAAAAATGTACCAGCCAGAAAAAATTATTACTACACCATTCTTACCAAATTGCCATTATTCCCTCTTCCCTTCTGTAGTCATTGTTGAACTGTAATCAGTTGCAGAGAGAGTGATTGAAATTTTACCAAGTATCAAGAAGGTTGTTGAGGTAGTCAGCACCAAGAAACTTCCCAATCTCCTTACTGCATCATATGATGCTGTTGCTTGAGCACAGAAAGATTCATTGATTCCTGCCAAGCAGGAATTTGATGAAAACTTGTGATTTTTGTTAATGAGAAAACTTCATCACTCAACACATTTCCAACATTGTGTATGCTTTAAAAATTTTAATAAACATTTTGAAGATGGTTTTTTTTAAAGGTTCATTATTACTTGTAACTTGTGTTATTTTCAAATGATTCAATTTTTTCATGGCAAAAAATTAAAATTTTTTGAAAGGTTGGTTTTAAAAGGTTGTAAATGTGTACATTAGGAAGCTGCAGGAACCCTCTTACTTTGACTTACCCATAGCTAGAGGTTAAAAGTGTACCTCAACTTTTCCTCTGTTGATGTGCCATTTTCTTTGTCATGTGGGTGCTAAACAAGTATCACACATATATTTGTCATGAGGTTTGTGATTATAAACCACTAGGAGCATTGTCATTGACCTTTGTTTGAATTAATCATGAAATTCGGTAACCTTATTGTATTGTCTGCCTCTTGAGCTTGTGAAATATGAACTTAGTAGAACTACAGACCGTATAAACTAAAGTGCTTATATAATACCTTGGTGTATCTTCATTGGTTGGCAATAGTCTGTAACTAGGTGCTTGTAAATTTGCATCATGCTTCAGTTTATTCTTTTGGCTTTCCTATTGTCTAATGATAATAGATAGCAAGTATGCAAACGAAATATTTATTTTAGAAATGCAATACTTGTGTAAAGTCATTTTTTATTTCTATCAATAATTATATCCAATTTCAGGAAAGAAAACAAATAGTAATTTTATACTGATTACTTTGCAATGTATAAGCAGAATTATGTTATTTCAAAACTCTTCTTTCATAATATTAACACTCCAATGCACATGCTTAAAAAAGTGATAGCAAACAAGACCTTATTTTTAACTTTCTTGACATTTTATTCTAGTTCCTTGCCCCACCAATATAACTTTGAAGCTGTTGTGAATATACTAAAATCTTCAAGGAGCATTTTTGAGCACTGATGTGATATATCTATAAAAATAAAAGGGTGTATGTGTAACTGCCATAGCTTCAAGAGAAAAGAACCTATAAACCTGAAATTTTGCACACATACTAAGTGGATCCTGAGGATGTTCACCTGTGTATTAGTACTTTTCTACATGCCTGCATGTGCACATCTTTTTATGCAAAAATCACATAGAAAAGAAATGTGATCACCATATCTCCAAGAGGAAAAAACCTAGAAACCTGAAATTTTGCAACCATACTAAATGGATCCTGAGGATGTGCATCTGTTATTACTTATCCACATTTGTGCACATATGCACATCCTTTTAATGAGACAAGCTAGTGAAAAACCACATAGAAAATGAGTGGTTCTTATATTACAAATAAAATTCAGTCAGACAGACACGTGTGTGTGTCTGTATGTATGATTGCCATAGCTCTAATAGGAAAGATAAGTAATAATACCTAGAAACCTGAAATTTTGCACCCATACTAAATGTGCCCTGAGCATGTGTACCTTGATATTATTACTTATCAACATGCATGCACCTATGTGCATGCATATCTTTTTAATGCGAAATACCACATGCAAAAGAAATGTGACCTCCATAGCTCTAACAGGAAAGAACCTGGAAACCTGAAATTTTGCAACCATACTAGTGGACCCTGAGGGTGTGCACTTGAGTATTATTATTTATCCATGCACATGCACCTCTTTTTAATGAGGCAAGCTAACGAAAAGCCACATAGAAAAGAAGTGGTTCCTTTTATTACAAATAGAATTCACAGACAGACAGACAAACACATTTATGCATGTGCATGTCTGTGCATTGTGACTGCCATAGCTCCAAGTGGAAAAAACCTAGAAACCTGGAATTTTACACCCATACTAAGTGGATCCTGAGGGTGTGCAACTGGGTATTATTAGTTATTCATGTGCATGTGCATCTTGTTATGAGGCAAGCTAGCAAAAAAAAACACATAAAAAAAGTGGTTCCTTGTATTACAAATATAATTCACAGATAGACAGATGTGTGTGCATGTGCCTGTATGTGTGACTGTAAAAGCTCCAAGATGAAAGAACTAAAAACATTTAATTTTGCACCCATGCTAAGTGGACCCTGAGGGTGTGCATCTGGGCATTACTTATTCACATGCATGTGCATCTTTTTAATGAGGCAAGCTAGCAAAGAATCACATAGAAAAGAAGTGCTTCCTTATATTACAACTTATAATATATAGAAAAGCCAGTGCATTTTGGTAACAATTCGTTCCTACAATGGCCTTTATGTGATGTCGCTTGGTAACAAAAGTATATAGGTTATACTTTTATGCTAAAATAGGTTCAGAATACACATGCTATAAACCTAATAACCCAAGCGAAGCTAGGTACTATTGCTAGTTAGTTTCATATTCTAAAGTTTAAACAATATTTCAAATGCATGACAGATTTCTCAGCAAAAAGGTTGAATATGTAATACGATATATTACATAGAGTAGTTATAAACTCGAATGTATGTGTTGTTTTAAGTGAATATTTACATGCATATTTTAAATTGGTGGTTAAAGGAATGCAAATAAATATATGCATATTCCTTCATTATTGTAGCAGAAAAATAATGTGGAACTCGATCAGATCAGAGAATACAACAAGCTTTTCTATGGCTGCACTCTAGCCCGGTGGTATTATTATGGATATTTGCGGATTATACTTCGACCAGATGTTGGGTTAAGTACGTAGTTGTGATTTATTATTGATATTATCCACACATTTCATTAAATATTATACTTTAATGTGTTTGTTATTATTTTCATTAAACTTTAGAAGATACCATCTAAAGAACACTAACTGAGAATGGGTTTCAAAATTAGTTTTGTTTATTTGGGAGATCAATTTAAGTATAAAAGTGAGATCAGAATGTAAATCATACGTATGTAATTATATTTCTCCATAAATATTGTAGACTTAATTTTATACTGGTTGTGATGTTTATCAATACCTAAATCTCTTAGAAAGTTAATATTTCCATTTCAATAAACATTATATTAATATAAAGGATAGCAAAACTTCTTTTTAGTGATACATTCTAGTGCTTTCCTCAGTGGACTCAAATTATTTCAAATGTTTTTCCATTGCCCATTATTGTTCATGTAAACCACTAGAATTTGTTAAATAATAAGTTTTGATTTCTAAATTTGCATAAAAACTCAAGTATATTCTGTGGTCTGTAGTCTTTTACTGAGGGCCTGGCATAGTCAGTTGGTTATAGGCCCAACCACAGTCTGAGGGTCACAGGTTTGAATTTCCATCTAACCAAACATGCTCGCTCTTTCAGCCATGGTGGCACATTATAAACTGATGGTCAATCCCACTATTCATTGGTAAAGAATAGTCCAAGAGTTAGCGGTAGGTAGTGATGACTAGCTTCCTTCCCACTAGTCTTTTACTAGTAAATTAGGGATGACTTGCACGAATAGCCCTTCTATACATTTGCTTGAAATTCAGAACAAACCAAACTTTTGGTGAGGACAAGGTTTTGACTACAGGCTTTGAATGAGTATAGTAATAAGAGATCAATAAACCTCTATCAGTAAACGTATATATAAAACAGACTTTTTTTTTTGCAGTTAGTGTCAAATTTTAAGCTGTGTACCTTGCTTCTATACAAAGGTCATAGAAATTAAAATTAATTTGTATGAATTTTGTATAGCCAAAGTTAAATATTGTGGTCTTACCCTTGTTGTTCTTTATGCAAGTTATCTAATTGTTATTTAATATTAAATACCAGTTTATCTTAAATACAGTTGATCTTGAATTTTTCAAGATGGATGCTTTTTTACATAAAAGACTTGTCTAATTACAAGATTTCTGTATATAGCACTTCAAGAAAGGATCAAACTTTATGAAGATCACCACCGTGTTACTGTACCAGTGAAGAAGCTGATCTTACTTCTTCCAGAATCTTGTTTTATTCACAATAATTTGGAACAACATGGTGATGATAATGTCCAGTGTGCTCAAGAACTACCACCTCTAGAACGTGATATGGCAGGGACACACAAAAGAAATTACAAGAACACAGTGTATCAGATAATTACAGACAAAAATACAGTAAAGTATTTAATTAAGTTTCATTTAACTTTTCAACTATAATTTACGCTTGTTAACATAATGTTTATGTAAGTTGAAAATTACCATTATTAAAATGTGGTTGTAATTACTTTTTATATGTGCATTTTAATCAGATACGAGGAAACTTTACTTGTTTCAGAGTTTTAATTTATTAAAGAATGTATGATGGTGAAATACTAGTTCTGCATCATAAGGTATTTTTTCTTTAAGCCTGTTTTAATAACAAAACATCTACCTTTACAAGAAATGCCAATGATTTTAATGTGCATGTTAAAATAAACTTTCCAAATGAGGTGAATTATGTATCATCCTTTTCTGTATTGACTGTACAGCTGAGAATGTAGTGGAATTTGCTAATTTATTGGGCTCATTAATTAATTATTCTCATGTGAGACTTGGAAGTTGGAATAATAAAAAATATAATAATATAAACATTAATTTTAATTAGTTGATTACTTTCATGAGTTGTGACAGTACATGGATTAAGCTGAACAACATTGAAATAATTAAAAATAATAAGAAATTATAATGGCAATATTTTGATTTCTTGAATAGGTGGAATAATTTAAGAGAGTAGTAATTGGAAACATTAACTTTGGCTAGTTTATTATTTTCATGGTATTATCTCTTTCAACACTGGTTCAGTTGATTTGACTGACTATGTGAACTCTCTACTTGTTTAAATCTTTATAACTTTGATACTACTAACTTTTAATATAATAGGTATATCTTAACAAAATTTGGCACACTTTCAGTAAACATTACAAGTCTTTCACATACAAAAACAATCATGTTTTTATTGAAGTATTTTTAATAAATAAAAAGGATTTGTCTATGAATATATTGAGTATTTTTTTTACTAGTCCATGTGCAAAGGGATTTTCATGTTAAAATTAAAATTAACTTTCTTCATCTCAAAAATCTCAAATTTCATCTGCATAATCTCTAAACCTCCTAAATACATTTCAAATGTTTGTTTTCAGTAAAATTTTAGACTTTATCTGTTATTTTCTCAACCCTAACTCTGTACAAGGTTGGTCAATTTCACTGACCTCGTAATCACTAAAAAACAATCGAAATAAGTCTGAATTACTATTTTTTTTCTTTGTAGAATGACTTCATATTGTAACATGAAACTACATTTGTTTATCTTGAGTAGCCTTAAACTTGTAACAGTATAAATCTATTTATACGTAAATTTTATTGCCCTATGATGGCCCTAGGAACTTTTTCTAACTACTATTCATGGTAAATCACTTAAGGAACGTGGAGTTCAAGTCACACTATCAAATTACATTACACCTGAGCTGCTCGTGTGTATGCCTCCTGAAACATTATTATATTATTGTTAATATTTATTTTACCGAATCTAACCTTAACTAACCTAAAGAGATCCATATTTTTTCCATTTTAGTTACTTTTATAATAATAAATAAAGAATAAACAGGAATAAACAAGAAATAAAGTATGTAATGGGTCTTTTTTTTTGCTCTTGACTGTCAATGACACTTAACACTACTTTTTTATATTAATGGTAGTAATGCCCTAAATAATTTTTATTTAATTTAATAATGTACCAAAGAAATAGAATAATAACATGTCTAGTCTTTCACTGCTAAATTAGGGATGGCTAGTGCAGATAGCCCTCATGTAGCTAGTTTTGGAGTTAGACACAGTTCACAGAGCAATAAAATGATAAAGTTAAATGAAAGCATTTTTTTTAAAAGGTTAGGAACCTAAAGTTTTTAGGATAAGTAATTGTAATTATTTCTTACAGTCTGCTGTACTTTTGATTCTGTTTCAAAATTTTCAATTATTGCTACAGTTAGTTTTAAAATAGAGGAAATAAGAGAAATTATAAAGTTTTACCAAAAAAAACAAACAAGCTTGATATTCATTTAAAAGGCCTAGAAGTTATGCATATGAAATGTGAAACTGTAATATGAAAAAGTATTTTTATTCTTAACATAAAAATTAGTTTGCATTCAGACTAGTCAGTTTGAGTCGGACTGATTTCATAAATTCACAACTAGATCTTTAGTAAAAATGATTTATTGAAAAATATCATTCATTTGCTTAATGCTTGCCAAATTTCATGACAATACACTTAGTAAATTCTGAATTATAGTGAACACTGCTTTGCATAACTTTACAGAAACAGGATTTGATGCAATGTAGCAATGCTGTACATGTATGTTTAATTTTTTGAATCATATTGTATGTATCTTATTGTCTTGGTTATATATAAAAAATCATCATCTTTTCCATGGAATTATTTTTATTGTTAAAATCATGTTAGTTATTATTATAGGAGCTTGTACTTAATGATTATAAGTATTAAAGTGTTTTATGTATACACCTGGAAAAAAGTTAAGCACCCCCGTGTTTTTTTCAAGTGATTCAGATTCGACTTTCTTGTGACTGATTATAAATTACCATTCAATCTAAACGTGTTTATCAAATTAAATTATGCATTATTGGGCACAAGAAAACAAGATTATCACCGTAAAATAACAATTTTTAATTTACATATCATGACATCAAAATATGGACAGTTTTCAC